ATATTTGATAATTTAAAATACTTTTGTAAGTGAAGTATATCTTATTGATTTACCCACTTCACAGCCGTAGCTAGGTTCTCCCCAAGGCACCAGAATTTGTTTAGTAGGATGTCAGGTGTTTAAGATGCATCACTTTTTCCAAGTATTCAGGCAGCGTTAGCACAGGTTGAAGTAATACAACGTATCTATTTATTGAATACTTTTTTTCCCCCCTAATAGAACCTGAATGGCTTTGAACAAATAATTTGTAAATTCAAATTTCACTTGGTGTAAATTTTTTCTATACTTACTAGCATTATTCAAATAAACAACAGAGGAAAAGGCTTTTATCAAGAAAGAGGGACTGTGCGAGGCGGCTGCGGTTCCAACGGGTTGCACTGCGAGAAAGGGCCAGCGTGGCGCCGCTGCAGGCATGCTGGGCCCGGGCAAGAGCCCGGCGGGCGGCGGGTTCGGGGGAGCCTTGTGCTTCTGTGGGGTCCCGCCGCGGGAGCCTCGCGGTGCCGCGCGCGCAGGTCGGTGGCGGCGGGACTGATTGAAAGACGCCCGCGCGGTCACTAGGACTCTGACCTGGAAGACGCCCGCGCAGGGCGAAAGGACGCGACCCAAGCCGCTTCCCGAGCCGACCCCAGGTGACGCAGCGCTGGTGAGCGGTTCCGCGTGGAGCCGTCCCGCGTGGGAATCGGGACTGCAGAAGGTCGCTGCCCCAGGGTTTTGCATTTACCCAGTAAGTAAAGCTTTGAGCTTGACCTGACTACTTCCATCAGCTAACGGGTAAAATGTAATCCTCAGTCCCAACTTTTGTATTCCGTTGCCAAATTTCCTTGAGTTGTTTTAATCATAGTTATGTGAAGAATCTGGTGCCAAAAGAGTTAGCTAGGTTTCACCCAGCTGCGGGGAGTCTTTCCTTGATATATGTTGTTAGTGGGCACTAAAACATTGGGGATAATATAATTCTGAGTTATCTGCCAAAATGCCTTTTTAAATGAAATGACCTAGAGCACAATCATGTGCACCTGTAGAACTGCTCAGTATAGGGCTGCTATGATGATGAAAGCTGTATACAGACAGAGAAGGTGCTTTCTGTAACATAGAATTTTCTTTTCATAAGTTAGGGG